GTGGGCCACAAGATACTTATTGGGGCATACTGAAGTTAAGCATATTAGCAGTAATGTGTGTTTGATTAATGGTTGATCAATCAAATATTACAAAGAATTGCATAAATCTCTGGAATTGAGTGTGGATTGTTTTTAGTGTATCTATCTCATGATGAACAATTTCAATTTTAAACAGTGAACTTCAATAAATGGAACCAGCTGTCTATCAAGTGTGTGTAAATCTCACATATGTGATGCCAGCTTAGTGAGGGACTGGCGCCCGCTCCCTCCCACCCCGAGCAGCAGGGCGTTGCCCAGAGGCTGGCGCAGGATGCGGCTGATGCGGCACACGTGCTCAATGGCGTCCATGAAGAGCACCAGCTTCATCTTGGTGGTACTGAATTGGTTGTAGTCTTCCATATATTTTTCCATCACTTTCGCCAACTAAATAATCAAATGTAGGGGAGAACAAATCAAACATTTTGGTAAAGTATATACTAAACTTTAATGAAGAAAGATGGAGAATAACAGATTATTGGGGGGTACAAACACACAAAGCACAAAGTAAAATACACCTAATTAAGTAAAAATGGGACAACAAAAAAATCTACCGTGCACAAAAAATAAAGATTTCAAGAAAATATTTTGCGCGGATTTTTACATTTAAATGTTGATGTTTTTTAACTCTGCCATCACATAAACAAACATTTAAAGGTTTAAAATCCACCCGAAAAATAACATGATCACTACTGATGGTGGATACATTTGACTGACACTTTGAAAGTGTAATTAAATCAAAATAAATGGTTTTACGGCTGTTTTTTAAAAGGAACATCAGAGCTACTTTCTAAAAGGGATGCAAAAGGATAAATAATAGTGCCATCCTCTGTTAGCACCAAGCCCCCAGGAAGTGCTCTGAGGAAAATATTTGTTGTGTCCAAACGGCGGTACTGCAACTTCCGTATCAGTCCGTGATGTCCCTGGGCCCGGAAATACTTTCCCCCATCGACTAACATTGGGAAAAAGTGGTCTGTAAATCGTTGGATGATTTTGTTTTAACCAAATAAACCACCCAGTATGAACATTTGTATAGTCTTTATTAAAAACATTAGATAATCAAGTTGTAAAATGTGCTAATGACGTTATTCTGAGAGTTATTTTCCTCGGCATTATGAACGCGCATCTGAGAGTGGGAGCTCTGGGGGCGGGAGCTCTGGGGGCGGGGCTTAAGGGGCAACTCAACTGCGCATGCTCTATGAGCGCACATACGGGTACTTCTGCTCTGACAGCCAGGCATGATGGGTAATCTGTGACGTTTCGCTCTCTCAAAAGTTGGGCCATTTTGTCCTCATGCGCCAATGAGCAGCTCTCATAGGAAAGAACGAGACCCCGCCTCCCACGCTGTATCCTCCAGTTCTTATTATACATCCATGGTTAGCAACACTGACCTGTTCCTTATCTTCTATGAGTGTGTAGACTTTGGGGTCGGCCCCAGGAATCATGAAATCTCCGTACAGAACTGGCTGGCAGGGCACGGCCTCCTCAAAGATGCAGTCAAAGTCCTGAATGCAGTCTTTGAGGAGCCTGTTGAACCAGTCCACGTCTTCAGCACACACCAGGCGGTCTCGGAAAATCCGACAGCTTTCATGGTACCACAGCCGCAGCAGCTGCAATTTGTCCTATAAAGCACCAAAGTAAACAAATTTTATGATGTGTATGCGAGATACTTTCAATCCTTTTGAAAGACATTTTCCCTCCAACTTGATACGTGATTAATCTAGCCAGGCTTATATTTGTTGCCTTAGCCATTCAGCCCACTGCTTCCAAATAAATTACATTTGTAAGTACTTAATAGATAAAGTGACTAAAGCTGAAAGAATTTCCGGTACCACTTTACAATAAGACTACCCTTATAAAGGGTTAATGACTAGTTTGTAATTCATTTATTAATTAGGTTGTGAACACTTTATAAATCATTAATAAGCTTTTATAAGACATGAGATAAACAAGGCAACTATGACCGGTTGCTTGCCAAATAGTGAGCCCACATGTATCTGTACTGCTAAGCCTTATTAGAAATGGTAGTAACTTTCATTTCATCGTTTATTTGGCAGGGACAATGCACAGTAATGAACACTTAAAACATTAAAATGTGTCAAGCGTAACAGTGCCAGATTTAGCTTTGAGCTCATTTCCATNGCCCGCTCCCTCCCACACCGAGCAGCAGGGCGTTGCCCAGAGGCTGGCGCAGGATGCGGCTGATGCGGCACACGTGCTCAATGGCGTCCATGAAGAGCAGTGCTCTTCATGGACGCCATTGAGCACGTGTGCCGCATCAGCCGCATCCTGCGCCAGCCTCTGGGCAACGCCCTGCTGCTCGGTGTGGGAGGGAGCGGGCGCCAGTCCCTCACTAAGCTGGCATCACATATGTGAGATTTACACAGAATCTTACAACTCACATGCCAACATCAGGCTGTTTTATTCCCCACTTATCTGCTTTTTAAAGGGATCCAACCGCTGGTTTTTTTCATTTCTGATCTTTTTTTTCCAAAGCCTACACGCATTTTGGGATTCATTCATGAATGTTCTGCTTAATAGACAGCTGGTTCCATTTATTGAAGTTCACTGTTTAAAATTGTTCATCATGAGATAGATACACTAAAAACAATCCACACTCAGTTCCAGAGATTTATGCAATTCTTTGTAATATTTTGGGTGGGAAAAGTATCTATGATTGATCAACCATTAATCAAACACACATTACTGCTAATATGCTTAACTTCAGTATGCCCCAATAAGTATCTTGTGGCCCACTCCTCACAGTACGTTTGTCCACATTCAGTTCAGATTACGAGTGTTTCCAGATTGAGCTGTCGAAGAACTACGGTCAGACAGAGTGGAGAGATGATCTTAAAAGCATAATGCTGAAAGCCGGCCTTGAGAACCAACAGATCACCTTCCTCTTTGTGGACACACAGGTACAATATATTATCACCTGCCATGGTATACTGCATGTGTACAGTCAATAAATATCATCCCTGGCACATATACTGTACTGTAACGTTGTGCCAGGAATGCTGTTGAATCAATGCTCACCAGACCCATTTGTCCTAATAGATAAAGAGTGAGTCATTCCTGGAGGATATCAACAACATTCTGAACTCCGGGGATGTTCCCAACCTGTATGCGTCGGATGAGCAGGAGCGCATCCTGGCAGCCATGAAGCCAGTGGTGGAGGAACTAGGCCAGCAGCTGACTAAACCCAACCTCATGGCCGCCTACATCAGGAGGGTCCGCAGCAACATCCACACTGTCCTCTGCATGAGGTTAGTCATTCAGATTACATAGTTAAATTGACCTTGTAAAGAGATTCTGAAAGCTTCAGGAAAAAAGATTCACTCACTTTTTGTATATAAAAACGTGTCTGAAAATGAGCTGATCAGATTTTGGCCACTTTATGATGTCCCCAATCATTTGATGTAAACGCGTTAAACCCAAAACCCACTAAAGAAGGGGCGGTAGGAAACAGTTACGCACCACGTTCGACAGCCTGGTGTAATTCACTTACTGCCCACTCCAAACCAAAGATACAAAAAATTAGTAAAGATATAAAAATTCTTTTATAAAAAACCTTACATACAAATGCATTTTAAAGGTTTGAATAGTTATTGTTAGGCCGACGCCGCCGTGCGTCCGTACAGTTGGTCAGGGGAGTACCGACACCCGACTGCAGATCGGTCCGTCGAGTAACTCCTTGCTACATCGTGTCGGACGTCTCGGAGCGGAGGCCGGTCCGCGACTCGGTCAGATACCACGGTTGTACAGTGGTTCCTCCCTGTTGACGGAGTCGGGCGCGTGCGCTTGTGGAGTGCGGTATCCTGACGTCTCCTTCTCCTACCCTTTAATCCTATTTCCTTGTGGTATAAATTTCCGAGGGTATCAGATATTACAACAAGTCAGTTCATATAATATCGAGAGTCTGATATATGTTTTTTGTATGTATGAGTATCTCTACATACCATCGATTTTTGGTTGGTTTTTTGTTTTTGATTACGTCTTTTACGTAGGTATTAGGGGAGCAAAGTCGGGACAAAGTTTTCACGACATTAATGAGTACGAGACAATGAATAAGTCTTACTTTTTATTTCCTCCGTGGGTGGTGCCGTGGAGACTCCTCTCTAAACCTATATTTTCTTGTGTTACCGACGAGTATCCTCTTTCTAATGTCACTTTTCCCTCTCCCATATGTATCCATACACTAACCGATTTACCTATATGTGAGGTTCGGTTTTTGT